CCCCCCAACCCAAACCAAAAAAGGCCTTGCAAAATTACATCCACAAAGGATTCCTTACCAAAATAGTGGTTGGGAATTCCAACAAATTTTACAATCTTACATTGGGGAAGGGAACTTTGTCATTGGTAGAAATCAGCCAGAAAAACAATTTAGATACATCATCATTAACTGCACGGAGCTAATTTTCATCCTTTCCAATTAAAATCTAACACTTTTCAAGAATTATAGGGAGAGCAATATCCACCAAAGGATGATAACTCTAAAAATCTAATCTTTAGGATTTACCACATTAGAATTCCCAGAATGGTGAAAACCATGAGATGCATCAGCACTGGTCCCGGTACCCATCCCATCTTCACTTTGTTTTGCAGTTGCAAGGAGCTCTTCCGTTAAGTCAATCACCTGCATTTCAGAGAGTTATCCTGGTTTAGAACTATTTGCTTAGCACAAGCCAAGAAACAAATTAATTTTTTTTAATTCCAAACTTAGATTCACAGAGTGACATCTGAAATCATGGGATAGAGGTATGCTGGCCACCATCAAATATCGCAGACCTGCAATTGAATCAAGACATGAAAGTGATGGACACCTTGAGAAAGTTGCTAGCTCCAAAATTTTACAATCGCCACACCCCTCACTACCATTGAGGTAATTTACTCTATCAAAATAAAATCCTCACCTTCAAAACCAAATGATTAACTTATGTTTCTTCAGTCACGGATAGTTCCTTCACACTGCTTGTTTATCGGCAATATAATGTTCGTGTAAGAAAAAGAGAGAAGAAATAGATACTTGTAATTAATTCAGAATAGAAAAACTAATAATTAAATATGAAGACAACTTACCCCTTTGTGCTAATGGATATAGAGACTACTAAATATCTCACGAAAAAGGATAGTGGTAATAAGCTAAGGGGAGATTTCATTAAGAAAACACTTTAACAAAAAGAAACGAAGGGGGAAAAGTAGAGAACTAAAAAAAGTGCAAAATGTCACCTCAACAAGCTCTTTCTCCATGTCCACATATTCGGAGTTGCGTGGTTCATCACGTAACAGTTGTCGCACCTGGTATATAAGTAAAGGAAATTTTATAAATTTGAAGGGCAGGAGCTGCAACAGTTTAGATACGAGATTACTTAAAGTGAAAGAAAGTGCAACTAGGATTGACATATCAGCATCATCTTTGCACAGTACAGTCTTGGTGGTTGCAAAACCAGTTTCCTGACCTTTCTAACGCAAAAACATTTTCACTGCTACCAGTTCATTAACCTTTGTAGCCAAACCTACAGGGACCATTCACTTAGTTTCTCGTCCCACCCTCAGACAGCACTAGTCAAATCTTCCAAAATACAGTGAAATCTCATAATGTTCTAATGCTTCCAAGTCAATTTAATATCTATCATACAACAAAAATCGGACACAGCACAGTCATCAACTGGGACAATTACCTCTTATGCCTCCTATCACATAAAATTGTCCTTAAACAAAGGTCCTTTTTTTTGATTGAGAATTTTTCCTTAAAACAAAGATCATTCTGAAGCAACTTTATGAATTGTTCCACAGGCATGAGTCGTGGTATCTATATGGGTTGGATCACCGAGCTGGCAACCATATGTATATTAACTTTATCATTTTTTGTAGGTCCTTCAACTCAAACGCAAAGAAAACTAGCCTGGTCGTGCTATTCCTTTCTTCAAAAAGTTGAGTTTATAACACAACAGAAAAGTAGTACTTAGGGATTTTATCTTTTAAAAGCAAAAGAAAAAAGACAACCCCATCTAAAATCCCTTTTTTTCTAGTACCCGTAATAAAACTAATCTTCTTATCAAGGACATGACAGAATGTGCCCTGTTAATTAAAACTCGACAACAATACAATTATGTGTATGCACACACAAACTCTGAATTTTGCTTTATAAACAATAGCTTGAAGATAATCAATACAGTAAAGTTTGAGTTCAAGAGCACAACTAATTATCAACATCAAAAAAGAAGAGAAAAGTGTTTTTGAGCTGAACATGGCATAATTTAAATGAAATAAGGAAAAAGATTATTCAAAAAACTAAATTTACAATTCAGAAAGCGCAGAGGAAATAAGATTAGGGTTTATACCTGCAGAAGTTGTTCTTTATAAGTAGAAAGATTCGAAGACAATTCGTCAATGCTAACTTCATCTCCACCGCTTTGCATCTTCTCTCTTTTTTTCTCTATCAAACTACTACCAATTGAGGACTTTCCAGTAACAAATTCGATTTCCCGGTATACGCCGGAGAGAGATATTCGAAGAAACCCTCGAACCTAGGGTACAAGATTTATCAGAATCGGGTCTATTTGATTCCTAACTTCCGGGTATTTTCAGCTTCGCCGCTTTGCCTGCGGTTCCCCACACGTGTTTATTAAAAAGTTGCACTGCACCCTTTTAAGTTTCAAACGGTAGCATTTCGACCCCTTTCTTTTTGTACTCCTTGTCATTTTAAAAAATCCAACGTTCTCTTTTGTTTTAAATTTCTATATAACAAACATCCTATTATAAATAGAATTCTATTTAAGGTAAATGTCTATATTTTAGAGAGATTTTAGGGATTTTTACTTGATGGCTAAGTCACTTTTTCCCTATAAATAGAGGGGTCCAATTCCATTGTAATTCATCTCAATGCAATAAGAATTCTCTATCTCTTTCTTTGAAATATTCTTCTTTATTGTTTTATAACAAGTTATCAGCACGAGACTCTAACCAATTGAGTAGAAGGTTTGGGATTGAGCATAATAATTGTCAATTATTCCATGAACTTACTTCATGATTAAATTCTGGATTTAAGATAAGTATTTTACTTTATTTTTCTATTTTAAATTCTTGAAATTCTATAATTTGATTTTAAATACAAGCGAAGACTATAAAATTTTGATTTAAACTCTAATGGAGTTTGAAAGAAATTATAACCACCCAAAGTGGTAAAATTTGTATGCCTTGCCATGATCAAATTCATGTATGATTGTGGAAAAAGAATTGAAAACTCGTCCCATTGAATTTGCTCCATTCTAATTCCCTTAAGAGAATGTGATAGCAGTTTGTGATAAGTCTGAAAGAAGACAAAATTATACTATGAATGTATCAATGGATGTGGACGTGACAATAGACATCATTGTGGTAATGAGAACAATAAGGATTCTTAAAATAATCCTTCACTATGTGAAGTAATATTTGTCATCGATTTGACATGAGATTTTGTAAAGCACATATAGATGATTATGGTCCATTCATGATGTGAATGTGACAACATGTGATTTATGAATACATATTCATTATTGGAAAAATATGAACGTGCTAATGGTAGTGAATATACCACACTCACCTCTAGAAGGAGGTTTGAGAGGAAATAAGAAAATAATATCATTATATGGCATAAATGGTCATTGGTCACGTACTTATTGTACGCCAAAATATTTTCGCGATGTGATTATTAAAGGGCAACAGTAATGCAAGGAACAAATCCTGTATAGAATTTTGACCATAACCATAATGGTATAACTTTCTCTTTAAAAGAGATATTTACCATATGGGTGTTGATGAATATGTGTAGTACCAAATTAATTGAGAGCTCTGGAAGAGCCAATTATTACTATTTTGGAGGAATAAAATTGATTATCAATAAGGCATTATGTTGTAGTAAGTCTCAAAGAAACTTGATTGAGTTTCTAAGGTATTCGCGAAAGCGGTTGGTTATATTGAGACTATAAATAAAAAGATTTAATATCTTCTATTACTACAATTTGTAGCGAGGTAATATATATGTGAAAAGCTACCCGCTTTATTCTCCAGTTTGTACTACACAAACAAAAGAATGCCACAATAAAGTAGAAGTTTATTGATATAAAACCCCATATCATAATAAAATTAGAGTTTATTGATAATTGCACATGTCATGGTGTAAATATGAAGTTTATCAATATTGATAACTTATTCAGTTGGCACAATTGGTTTAGCCATATCCATTTAAGTATGATGTGCAAAAATAATAGAGAATTCGCATGGGTAAATATTAAAGAACTAGAAAGTTCTTTTCGAATTATCTTATATTGCTTGTTCTCATTAATTAATAGACCAACTAAAATTGGGATTGAATCCCATGAATGCTGGAAATATCAAAAGTGAATATGGGCTCATTCACCCGCCATGTATACCACATAAGATGCATATATAAGATGGTTACATGTGCGACTATTATTAACCCGCAGCATGGTGTTTGCGAGGTAACTTGCTCAATAGTTCGATTTAGAGCATAATTTCCAGATTTTTTATTCAAGATAGTTCATCTTGATAAGTTGGTTTACATCATAGTTGGTTAGCAAAATGATTCCATCATCTTTTTAAAACTTTGAATTGTAGATAGTTCTAACATTTTCTTCGTTACTTATAGGCTTCGGTGTTGCATCATGAGGCCTTCCTTCGAATCCGAGAGGAGAGCAAGGCTGAGGTTCGGAGCCTTACCGAGAAAAGCGATACATACAAGCTTCTCAATGAGAAGATTCAGGCCGATCTGGTGACGGCTTGAGATGAGCATGCTGAGATGGCCGAGCAGGTATTCCGAGTGCTTCATGATAGTGAAGATGAGTTGGAGATAACAACTAAAGATCCGATTCTGCAGGTTCGACAGAGGCTCGAACAGATCAAGGACCTTAAAAGGCAAATAGATGAAGTATAAGTCGAGGCTGAAAAGTTCAAGGGGTGTATGGACATCTTAGCTTCAAAAAAGGAGGCAGTCCAAGCAGAGCTGGAGTAGGCCGAGTCTCAGCTTCGGGCTACAAGGGAGAAGGCCTCGGTACAAGCAAAGAAAATTGAGGATCTTCATTCCAATTTAGCCGACTTAGCCAAAGAGCTCGATGTGGCCAAATCTGAGGCGGCAGTGGCCGATACCAAGGCCCAAGCCAATGAGACCCAATACAAGGTGGATGTCGAGGCTATCCAGGCACAGGCCAGGAGCATGGCGGATCATGCGAAGTGGCAAGCTCGAAGGGAGGCTCTTGAGGGAACCCGTGTTGAGGGTTTAGATATATTCGCTGAAATCGAGATTGCCATAGTAGAAGAAACAAGAGCTCGAAAACTGGCTTTCCCTGAGGAAGACTCTGAGAGTGAGCGAATCTGGTGGAGAAGACTCCGATGGCGAAGATGCTTCCTCCGATAAGGACCATGCTTAGGCCTTGGAATTTTTGCTTTTATGTTGAGGCCGATCGGCCTTTGTAGAGAATTCTTGATCGGGCCATATGGCCCTTGTAAAAAGCCTTTTGTATAAATTTTTCCTTTCCATGGTTTCTGAATCTGTTGTCTTTTTATTAATTCATGTAAGGGTCAAAACGCCTTAGCATAAGATTATGAAGTTGTATTCGAGGGCCCAAGGTTTGGGATGGTAAGGACCGATAATAAGCATTGCCCTCGACCGTTTCTAATCGATGGACCCTAAATGATTATTCGAACTTGAGCTTATGCATCCCTTAAGCTTAATGATTGAGTGAGTACCTGCTCGAACTCGAAATAAGGTAGCCCTTAGGCTTTCTAGTCGAGTGACAATGATCTCTCGAACTCGAAGTAAAAGCAACCCTTAGGCCTTTGTAAATTTTGTATTTGGCCGATCTGGCCTTTGTAAAAATATCGTTTATACATAAGGCGTTCCACCCTTTTCGTCTCTAAATTTTTTCCTTTGTTTTAATACTTGTATTCACAAAGGTTGGAATGCCTTAGCACAAAATAATAAGGTTGTGTTCGAGGGTTCGAACAAACCTTGCCTTTATCTCCCTTCGGGTGTAGCCTAGTGAGCTCACTTTCCCAAGTTATCCAGGTTTACCTTAGATAACAGTCCCCGAGTGGGTATGGCCGTGGACTTTAAATTTCGAGGGTTGCCTAAGAGGTCTTATGCCCTCGATGTTCAATAGTTCGATGTGTTCAAGTTTAATTTATGAACGGCAGTCTCCGAGTGTGGGAGTGATTATCCGAACTCTGGTTACAATCGGCCCTTGGGCTCATTTCCATAATAGATCGAAAGTATGGGGTTGTAAAGTGGAAATTTTTCCAAAACATTAAAGAGTTGCAAGGAAAGTACTTCTTATTATTGTTGTCAGGGGTCGAGCAATCTATGTGGGCATGGTTCATTTTGACCAGTTGGCCCTTACAATAAATCCTACCTATTGAGAACCTTTCATTTCGAAATAATTTCCTTGATAGAATAATTCAATATCCGAGGGTAACCCCCCCCCCCCCCAGTATTCGAGGTTGGTTGTAGATAATCTCGGATACTATAAACACAGTCTTTGATATCGATTCGTTATCGGCCTTCAGTTCTACGGTAGCACGATCCACTGTTGCCTCGCTAAAAACCTTACCGAAAAACCCATTTGGGACAAAAACGGTTCAAGGGAAAAAGAGTGCAACACGTGCTTTCAAACCTAAAGGCTTCGTACCGCTCCTCGTCGATAACCTGCAAGTGTTAGTCAAAAATAGAAAGAATTGAAATGGGGTCGTACCTCAGCAGTAATCTCGTTTGAGAAGAGTTATGTTCCAATTATTTGGTAGCTGTTCTCCGTCCATCGTTCTGAGCTTATAGGATCATTTCCCTATGATCTCGAGAATCTGGTACGACCCTTCCCAATTCGGACCCAATTTTCCTTCATTTGGATTTCGGGTGTTTAAAGTGACCTTCCTCAGTACCAAGTACCCGATATTAAAATATGGAAGGTTGGCCCTTCGATTGTAATACCTTTCGATTCATTGTTTCTGGGCAACCAATCGAACAAAGGCAGCTTCGCTTCGTTCATTTAATAGCTCCAGGCTCATATTCATGGCCTCGTCATTCGATTCCTTCGTCGCATATCGAAATCTAATGCTTGGTTTCCTAACTTTGACCGGTATTAAAGCTTCGGTGCCATAAACCAAAGAGAATGGGGTAGCCCCGGTACTGAACTTCGAAGTTGTGCGATACTCCCAAAGGACTTCGGGCAAGACTTCTCTCCATTTTCCTTTGGCGTCGGTCAACCTTTTCTTAAGGTTTTGTATTATGGTTTTGTTGGTCGATTCGGCTTGCCCATTCCCACTAGGGTCATAAGGTGTTGATAAAATCCTTTTGATCTTGAGGCCTTCGAGAAATTTGGTCACCTTGCTACCGATAAACTATTTTCCGTTGTCACATGCAATTTCGGATGGTATTCCGAATCGACATACGATGTGGTCCCAAATGAAGTCGATGACTGCTTTCTCCCTGACCTTCTGGTAGGCCTGTGCTTCAACCCTATTAGATAAATAATCAGTCATAGATAAAACAAATTGAGCCTTACCCAGTGACGATGGAAGAGGGACGACGATGTCCATCCCCCACTTCATGAACGACCATGGGGATAAA